AGGATGCCCTGTGGGGTCAGGAGAGTGGCCCACAGCAGTGGTTCTCACTGTGGGGGATTTTGCATCCCCCACCCCTGTCATTTGCTGGAGACGCGTTTGATTGTCGTGACGGGGAAGGTGGGGGAAGGGACTTCGCTGGCATTTACTGGGTAGAGAGCAGGGACACTGCTCAACATCTGGTGACACCTGGACAGAGACCCTAGGATGCAGGGCTGTCTGGTCCAAGATGTCATCTTGCCAAAGCGGAGAACCTGCAGGCTGAGGTAGCAGCCAGGTGGACAGGAAGGGATGTACCATCCATGGAAACCAGGGCCGGGATCTCTGTGCTGCATAGTCAGGGCACCTATAGATTCCTCTGTGGAAGTAGAAACGTGGGTCCAGAGACCCCAACTGGGCAGGCATGGGCCGAGAAAGCTTGGCTGAGGCTGGAGGACGCATGCACTGGAGGAAGGGGGTCCGTGGCAGGCAGCCACTGAGATGGCAGTTAGGCCCCATCCCGCCCCATGCATGTCAAAGTGCAGATAACCCAGATACCCGGGTCCACCTCCTGCCCCAGGAGGGCTGGGGCCAGCAGATGCAGCCAAGGCCGGAGGTGTGGACCCTTTCTCCACACGATGGTTGCATGAGATGTCTGGAATGCTCTCTCCCACCACCCTCCCATCTGATTAACTCCCATGCCTCCTTTCAGCTCTCAGCCAAAGTCGCTTCCTACAGGAAGGCTTCCCTGACTACTAGTCTGGGTCAGGTTGCATCCTCTCAAAGAACTGTTTGCTGATGTAAACACATGATTCCTGTCTGTCTTCCCCACCACCCTGTGAACTGCCTGAGAGCCAGAGGTTCCTCTGTGTTGGCCCATCAATGCTGTGTTGGTATCTTCTTCAGTTGTTGTTCAGTGGACCAGTCGTGCCCAACCTTTGTGACCCCATGGTCTACAGTGCGCCAGGCTCCCCTGTCCTTCACCATCTCCCGGAGTTTACTCAAACTCATGTCCATTGAGTCAGTGATGCTGTCCAACCATCTCATCCTCTGTCGCTCCCTTCTCCTCCTGCCTTCAATCTTTCCCAGCATCACGGTCTTTTCTGATGAGTCGGCTCTTCGCATCAGGTGGCAAAGTATTGGAGCTTCAGCTTCCACACCAGTCCTTCCAATGAATATTCAGGACTGATCTCCTTTAGGACTGATTGATTGGATCTCCTTGCAGTCCAAGGGACTCTCCAGAGTCGTCTCCAGCACGGCAGTTGGAAAGCATCAGTTCTTTGGTGCTCAGCCTTCTTTTTGGTCCAGCTCTCACATGTGTACATGACTACTGGAGAAACCATAGCTTTGGCTATACGTACCATTGTCAGCAAAGAGCCCAGCACGTAGAAAAGCTTTCGTCCATGAGAGCACTATGTCTTTGATGACTAAGGAAGAGTCTTCTTGGCGTCGCTTGTGTGACAAAGTGGAGTTGACAAGTCCAGAAGCGTTTCCAACCCTGGAGGGGTCTCCTCCTGCCTCTCCTGGATGAGCAGTGTGTGTGCCTGTGTGTGGGGAGGTCTGTGCATGTGTGTGACTGTGTGTGTCTGTGTGTGTGTCAGTGTATGTGTCTGTGTTTGTATGTGTGGGTGTGTCTGTGTCTGTATATGTGTGTGTGTGTATGTATGTGTTGGTCTGTGTATATGTGTGTGTCTGTGTGTGTGTCTGTGTACAGGTGTGTCTGTGTGTGTGTGTGTGTCTGTGTCTGTACAGGTGTCTCTGTGTGTATGTGACTGTGTGTGTGTGTATGTCTCTGTGTCTGTGTGTATCTGTGTATGTGTGTGTGTGTCTGTGTGTGTATGTGCATGGCTGTGTGTGTGTCTGTATGTGTGTGTGTGTATGTGTGCATCTGTGTGTGTATGTGTGGGGAGGGGTCTGTGTATGTGTGTAACTGTGTCTGTGTGTGTGTCTGTGTGCATCTGTGTGTGTGTGTCTGTGTGTGGGGGGGGCTCTGTGTATGTTTGTGTCTGTGTGTCTATATATGTGTGTATGTGCGTGCCTATGTATATGTGTGTGGGGGGGTCTGTGTATGTGTGTGCCTATGTGCTTATATATGTGTGTATGTGTGTGCCTGTGTGTATGTGTGTGTGGGGGTCTGTGTGTGTATGTGCATGGCTGTGTGTGTGTCTGTATGTGTGTGTGTGTATGTGTGCATCTGTGTGTGTATGTGTGGGGAGGGGTCTGTGTATGTGTGTAACTGTGTCTGTGTGTGTGTCTGTGTGTGTGGGGGGCTCTGTGTATGTGTGTGCCTGTGTGTCTATATATGTGTGTATGTGTGTGGGGGGGTCTGTGTATGTGTGTGCCTGTGTATCTATATATGTGTGTATGTGCGTGCCTGTGTGTATGTGTGGGGAGGGGTCTGTGTATGTGTGTAACTGTGTGTCTGTGTGTGTGTCTGTGTGCATCTGTGTGTGTGTGTCTGTGTGTGTGTGTGGGGGTCTGTGTATGTTTGTGTCTGTGTGTCTATATATGTGTGTATGTGCATGCCTGTGTGTATGTGTGTGTGGGGGTCTGTGTATGTTTGTGTCTGTGTGTCTATATATGTGTGTATGTGCATGCCTGTGTGTATGTGTATGTGGGGGTCTGTGTATGTGTGTGCCTGTGTGTCTATATATGTGTGTATGTGCGTGCCTGTGTGTATGTGTGTGTGGGGGTCTGTGTATGTATGTGCCTGTGTGTCTATATATGTGTGTATGTGCATGCCTGTGTGTATGTGTGTGTGGGGGTCTGTGTATGTGTGTGCCTGTGTGTCTATATATGTGTGTATGTGTGTGCCTGTGTGTATGTGTGGGGAGGGCTCTGTGTATGTGTGTAACTGTGTGTCTCTGTGTGTGTCTGTGTGCATCTGTGTGTGTGTGTCTGTGTGTGTGGGGGGGGGTCTGTGTATGTTTGTGCCTGTGTGTCTATATATGTGTGTATGTGCGTGCCTATGTGTATGTGTGGGGAGGGGTCTGTGTATGTGTGTAACTGTGTGTCTGTGTGTGTGTCTGTGTGCGTCTGTGTTTGTATGTGTGTGTGTGTGTCTCTGTGTGTGTGTGTGAGAGTGTGTGTGCAGAAGCCGCTGGGCTGGGGTGCTCTCCAGCAGTCTGAGACCACAGCGCATGGTCACCTTCTGGGAAAGCCTGGATCCTGGGCACTGGCTTCTCTGCAATAGGAAGGAAGGGGCATCTGCTCCCAGCTGAGGGTCTCTGACCTCCATGCCCAAGCTGCCTTGCCCTCTGTGCCGAGATGGAAAGGTGTTGTCTCCCTCTTGGAGGAGAAACCAGTTCCCCTACCTCCCGTCTCTCTTACTGCTCATCCTTTGGTTGAGGGGATCAGTCTTATTTTCTTAAAGCAAGAGCCAGGGTTAGCATCGGGCCCAGATTTTAAACCTTCCTCCTGTGTTGTCCAGCCTCCTTCCTGTCCAGACCACTCCTTGCAAAGCTAATTGCATTTGAAGTTGAACCCAGGGTAATTGCAGTTCATTGCCTACTCCTGGCTGCCAGGGTATCCTTTCCCTTTATTAAATTTAAACTTTAAAGAATCTATTTTCATAAATGGTAAGTCTAGCCACCTATAAGGATTAGCGAAGTTCTTCATTCCGTTTTTTCAGCCCGAGTCTAACAGTAAACAGTTCTCAATTTTAAGGGAAAGATTTATTTCTTTATTGCTAAACCGAAGTGCCTCAACAACCAATCTTGTATTCCAAGGGCGCTCGCGTTACATGGTAGTCCGTCCCGTGAAGACTCAAGTTGGTAACATCTGGGAATATTATTTTGGGGACTGCAGGCTCTGTGCAAGTAATGATTTAAAAAACACACCCCCAAAGCACTGTCCTAATGAATGCCATCAAGAGTTTCATTTTCAAGAAGCACTCATGGTCAGATGTCTGATTTTCAGAACCCCGGGCTCAGCAGCAATCTTGTAGATGTTGGCATTTTTCGGAAAGGCTCTCTGGCAGGAAGCTGTGATCTGGGTGAGTGACAGGGACCAGCCAGCCGGCCTTTCATGTATTCTCCCACTGAAATGCCCTGAAGCATTTGGGCTTTAAATGACTCTTTTCCCAAATCTCATAACCCTATGAAGATTCTAGACTCTACTTGCAAAATTCTGTCCAAGGTGGATTTCCTTAATAAGTATGTCACTACAATAAGTGAGTTTTACTTCCGAAGAAGCTTCTTCAATTTGAACTTCCATAATGATATTTTTATAATCATCAAATGGCAGGAAATAGATGCTAGCTCCCTTAATTTTATCATTCTAAATGTCACAGGAATGGCAAGGATCTTGAAAAGACAAAAGAAGTGCTTCAATTAGTAATTCCCATGGTAACTAATAGAGGTTGATCTTTTTCCCCCTTTCTGTGGCTATTTTAAGTACTTAAATTGATTTGCATCCCCGTGGAAATGTGAAGAAAAAGCATGGATTGAGTTCGTCCACTCTGCTGGGAGTTTTTCTGTTATAAACCATCTCCTTTCCTTTCTTCCCCAGGTATTTGGAGTAGAAGGCAAGGGACAGACCCTGATCAAAAATGTTTCCATTTCCTTACATTGGGAAGAAGCTATGATTTCTTTTCTTTTGCTCTTTGTAAATGTAAACATATAACCAGTTTCCTTTTGTATTTCTCTTACAGTTTATATTAAAACACAAGTATCCATGTATTTTAGTGGCCAGACATTAGATGAAAAAACAAACATAATTTGAGCTGAGCAGCCAAACTCTTCATCAGATACAGTGAGGGTCTGAGCCCAGAAACCTTATCTCTGTCTGGTTCCCGCTGTTCAGGCCTTGGCCAGCTCAGGGTCAGGACTGTGTCTGACCCTGTTCGCTGGCCGTGAACGACAGCCCTGATCACTGAGGTCTCCTCTGTGTCTCACTGGCTCCTTTGCCTGCACTGCCCTCCTCCTAACCCTAGCGCCGAGGTTCCCAGCCCCAAGATGCCTCTGATGGTCGCTGGCCTCCATGCTGGTCCCCACGCTGCGTGCAGAACCAGCTCCCACACTCACTGAACAGGGCAATGAGCAGGCGCGCCGGATCTTCACTCGGCATCCAGGCGTCTGAGCATGTGGACGGGCTTTCGTCCTCATTTTCACACGAGGGGTGGAGCTCAGCAGGCCAGGCGCTGCCTCCTGGTCAGCGGGGTTCACTGTCTCTGGCCAGCATCTGCTTCCCTTTGGACACTCACATTCTGAGTTAGCGGGAGTTCACTCGAATGAACCTTCTAGTTCACGCAAAGGGGTGTGTGTGTTTCTGTTTTAAAGTGGGTCAGGAAACTGAAGGAGAGGGAGGTCTAAAGGAGATGTTTTGGGTATAATGCGTCAATAGACATGACAGTTGAAGCACACACACAGGGAGATTTTCGGGAGAAGGTTGTGGTCCTGCTAATGATAGTCTGTATTTATTGAGCTCACGGCCTATGCCAGACCCCATACACAGAAGGTCCAATACAAATGTTCCCGGGCACATTCCACGTTCCCGCCGGGTGACCACTCAGTTTGCCAGGGAGTGAGGGATTTTCCAGTAGTCATGTATGGATGTGAGAGTTGGTCTATAAAGAAAGGTGAGTGCTGAAGAATTGATGCTTTTGAACTATGGTGTTGGGGAAGACTCTTGAGAGTCCCCTGGACTGCAGGGAGATCCAACCAGTCCATCCTAAAGGAAGTCTGTCCTTATTCAGGACAGACTGTCAAGTCTGTCCTTCCTTCATTGGAAGGACTGATGCTGAAGCTGAAACTCCACTACTTTGGCCACCTCATGCGAAGAGTAGACTCATTGGAAAAGACCCTGATGCTGGGAAAGATTGAAGGCAGGAGAAGGGGATGACAGCGGATGAGATGGTTGGATGGCATCACCGACTCAATGGACATGAGTTTGAATAAACTCCAGGAGTTGGTGATGGACAGGGAGGCCTGGTGTGCTGCAGTCCACAGGGACGCCAAGAGTCAGACACCACTGAGTGACTGAACTGAACTGAACTGGGGGGTTTACAGGCCCCTACGGTTTTCAGTGTGGGCTTCCCAGGTGGTTCTAGTGGTAAAGAATCTGCCTGCATTGCAGGAGACATAAGAGACGTGGGTTCAATCCCTGTGTCAGGAAGATCCCCTAGAGGAGGAAATGGCAACCCACTCCAACAGTCTTGTCTGGGAAATCCCATGGACAGAGGAGCCTGGTGGGCTACAGTCCTTGGGGTCACAAAAAGTTGGACACGATCAGGCGACTAAGCACATGGGATTTTCAGTGTAGAAGCAGAAACTCCCAGGCAAAGCTGGGCTAGTCGGTCTCCCCACCCGCCTCCCTAGAGCAAAGGGGACTCCCCTCATTTTGTAAATGGAAACCCTCAGAAAGGGGAGGCTAGCTGTCCTGGCTCCTCCCCTGGCAGGAGGAGGCATCCGAATCCAGGTGCTGTGACCAGAGCACCCAGCCAGCCCCTAAGAGGCAATCTCTCCCATCACTGAAGGGTCAAGGTCAAGGTCAGGATCAACATCATAAAGATTTGCATGCAAGTTGGAGATCCTATCCCTACAAGTAAACTTACTCACCAAACAGAAAGAGACTCACAGACTAAGAAAACAAACTTCTGTTTGCCGGGAAGAAGGCATAGTCAGGGAGTTTGGAAAGGTCATGTACACACTACACTTGCTATATTCAAAATGGATCACCAACAAGGAGTTACTGTAGAGCACATGGAACTCTGCTCAATCGTATGGAGCAGCCCGGATGGAAGGGGAGTTTGGAGGAGAATGGATACATGTGTATGCATGGCTGAGTCCCTTCACTGTCCACCTGAGACTCTCAGTGTTGTTAATGGGCTGTACCCCAGTGCAAAACGAAAAGTTTAAAGTTAGAAAAAAAATTAAAACAAGGTAAAAACAAATGCAATAAAAATCAAAACGTTATTTCAAATAAACAGCTGGCTTAAAACTAAATATTAAACAAAACTAAGATCTGGCATCTAGCCCTATCACTTCATGGCAAATAGAAGGGGAAAAGGTGGAAGTAGTGACAGATTTCCTCTCCTTGGGCTCTAAAATCACTGCAGATGGTGACTGCAGCCCTGAAATCAGAAGGCGTTTGCTTCTTGGCAAGAAAGCTATGACAAACCTAGACAGTGTGTTGAAAAGCAGAGCTATTACTCTACCAACAAAGGTCCATATAGTCAAGGCTATGGTCTTGGCAGTGGTCATGTACGACTGTGAGAGCTGGACCACAAAGAAGGCAGAATGCCAAAGAATTGATGCCTGCAAACGGCGGTGCTGGAGGAGACTCTTGAGAGTCCCTTGGACTGCAAGGAGATGAAACCAGTCCATCCTGAGGGAAATCAACCCTGAATATTTGTTGGGGGGACTGATGCTGAAGCTGAAACTCCAGTATTTTGGTTATCTGCTGCTTAGAGCGACTCACTGGAGAAGTCCCTGATGCTGGGAAAGACTGAGGTCCGAAGGAGAAGAGGGCTTCAGAGGATGAGATGGCTGGATGGCATCACTGACGCAATGGACATGAACTTGGGCAAACTCTGGGAGATGGTGAGGGACAGAGAGGCCTGGCGTGCTGCAGTCCACAGGGTTGCAAAGAGTCAGACATGACTGGGGGACTGAACAACAACCCCAATGCAAAATAAAAAGGTTAAAGTTAGAAATAAAAATAAAAACAAGGTAAAAACAAATACAATAAGATCAAAAGTCATTTCAAATAAAGCTCATGACTAAAGGTAAACAAGCTTGTTCTCTAAGAAATCAGGCTTCTGATGTCAAACAAGCAAACGCCCAGGGCACAGTCAGGCCAGGGGTCCTGTCCGTTCGACGCTTTTAAGTCTCTCAGTGCTGAGGGCCATCTGTCCCCCTGTTGAGTGAGGAGCAGACAGAGTGAGAACATTTTTCAGTTGACTGTATTTGCAAATTGGTGTTTTGAGCCACACTCATTAATTTGTTTGTTTATACAGGGCGAAAAGTAATACTAGCAGTGATCTGAAATAGCAGATCAAATTAAATCATACCTACAGAACTGAACACACAAGCTGGGAGGAATGCACGGAGCCTTGCATTTTCACAGAGTGAGCCCCCGAGTAACCAGCCTGGCCAGGGGACAGGACAGGCCCTGCCCCACACAAGCCTCCCTCCCACTTGCCCCACACCTCACCTTCCAGGGAAGCCCCTCTCCCCACTTCTGCTCCTCACCTTCGTTCAGTCTGCTTTTTGAAGTTTATATAAACGGAATCAGAGAGCGTGTACCACCTTCTCCCTTCATGCTTTGTGAGCACCCATGATGCGCAAGGCGTTGTGCAGATTTTCAGTGAATCTCTGCAGCTTGGCTTCAACTGCATCCCAGTTGGTCCTTACGGAGGCTGGTGTCCCCGTGTAGGTCACGGAGTTGTCGTCTTAGCGGCCAGTTCTCACCAGATGACCAGCTGACACGCGGTGTGTGTTGAGGGAAGGCATTACCGCTATGGGAACTGACCCTTTACCATTCAGCATAACTACGAATCCAGCAGAGTGCTTTGGGTTCTGCGTTGCTGGGAAATCTCCAGGACACTGAAGTCATCTGTGCTCTGGGCTGGAGAAGGCCAGTGGGGATGACGGAGAGTGGCAGCCGCTAGTGAGAGATGGACGGGGAAGCGGAGGGGCATTGTCCTATGGGGTCACCACCCAGGGCCTGACGTCCAGCGAAGGCATGGCTGTCTGGGCGGACCCTGCCTGGCCCTGGGTCTACCCAATAAAGTGCTCATTCATCCTGGACCCCTCGAGTCCACCTGTTAGGAACAGGGAACTGTGAGTCACAGCCCGGGGCCGGAAGCACCCATCATTCCCATCCTGGGGATGGATTTACCATAGGGACGTCTTGAGACCTGTGCTCTTTACCTCCGAGAAGTTTCTGGGATGCCGGCGGGACAAGATGCTGCACGGTGTCAGGGTGGTTCATGATTTGGGCAGGTTTGGGTCTGGTGAGTCTGCCTCTTTAACTCTGCTGTTCTACTCCGGGAGCTGGAATAATAACCGGGCGATTGCGAGCGTTCAATTAAAAATATTTGGTTGGAAGTGCCCTGTACAAGTAGGCATTCCACAAATGCCAGCTCCCTTTCCCTGGAGATAAGACGTGATTGTAATTGTGCCTTAAATTCAGTCCTAAGCTTCCTGGCTGACATGGCAAAAACGAAAACACAATGGCTTGTATTGTTCCAGTACGATTAAAAGAACGTCCTAGTTTTTCAGGAAACATCAACACTTTCCTGGTGCTGGGTTCTGTGAGGACTTTATTTTGAAAGCCTGAGTCATTCAGTTGATGGCGTTTGCAACAATGATTCCCCCTCCCCACTCTTCCCCCTTCCAGAAGGTGGAGAAATCTTTTTTCTATCTCTGCAGCATGGATTAATCCCTTAATTTAAAAAATACTGACCTGAGGATGTCGTACGGAATTAAAGATGGAAAGCTAATACCTTGGCATAGGATTTAGTAAATTCTGTTTTTTTTTTTTTTTTCATTTCTTTCGCCTTCTCTTTCTAGTGGAATCTTATAAGGATAGCATAAATGAAAGGTTATATAGTCTGGAGGAAGAAGAGGAGCCCGGGATTCACCCAGTGCTCTCGAGCCTTCCAGGGTCGCTGTGCGGGTGAAGGAGGTGACATCCACACCCACGCCCGGTGGTGTCTTGGCTTCGGCATCTGTAGAAAAGCCGATTGCACTGGGATCTGTAGAATCTGGTTGGTCAGGTCCAGGGTGAGCGGCTGCCACAGTCCTCAGCGTTCATGGACATGCTGGTGCCTACAGAGGGTTCTGCTGCCCAGGCTCACAGGCACCGGATCCAGGGTCAGGAGCCTTGCAGAAGGAAGCATGGGTGTCTCCCCTCCCCTGCCTGCAAACACGAGAATTCATTTGCCCAAATCATTGCGGTTGAGTTCTTTGTTTTATTTCTTTTCCCTAGAGCAACTTACGCACACAACACGCACACAGAATGGTGGGTAACCAAGGGGTTTCCCTGGCCCACAGTGGTCTGGGAGCACGCCATACACACATGCAGACTCTGGACCTGGAGAATCAGAGGTGAGGGGCTGGGACAGGTCGGGGCCATTGCACTGTGAGGATCCTGGGGACTCTGTCCTCCAGGGCCTTCAGGAGCCAAGCTGCTGCCTGGCACAGAGCGCACCCTAGATCTCAAAGCCCACCAAGCCAGGGAAGGGCAGTGGCGGGAGGGGGCGGGGTGGAGCCTCTCACTGTAACCGCAGCTTTGCAGGTGAAAGGTCTGCATTCGCAGAATTGGCTGGAATCAGAGCTACAGGACTGGGGCGCCCTCCTGCCCTCCACCCACCCAGGACCCAGCTGACCTGTCCTCCCTCGTTGCTGCCTGGAGTCGGGGGAGGGGGACGGATGGGAGGATCTTCCCTCACCGCTATTGACAGCTCATCTGTGCACTTTTCTGTGTGGCCCAAAGCACGTCATCAAATGCGTCAACATAGTAGAGTGCTTGCGTGCATGTGTGCTCAGTCATGTCTGATTCATTGGGACCCCGTGGACTATAGCCCGCCAGGCTCCTATGTCCACGGGATTTTCCAGGCAAGAATACTGGAGTAGGTTGCCATTTCCTACTCCAGAACAACATAGTAGGCATTCAAGAAATAATCTACTGGTCAACTAATTACATGTTACAGCCACAGATGGAAATATTCTACAGTCTCCTATTTTTTTCTAAATTATTATTCTAAACTCTAAAGCTTGAAAATGTTGACAGTTTTTTTCAGTAATCCTATGGCATACAAAGTTCACAAATGGATTCTAAATTTTCCATTACAGCTGCATTCATAAATGAAATAACTTGATACTCCCTCCTCATTGGAGATTTTAGGTGGATAGTATTCCTACTCAAGTCATTTGCCAGTCATGTCCGACTCTTTGAGACCCCATGGACTGCAGCCCACCAGGCTCCTCTGTCCATGGGATTCTCCAGGCAAGAACACTGGAGTGGGTAACCATTCCCTTCTCCAGGGGATCTTCCTGACCCAGCGGTCGAACCCATGTCTCTGGCATTGCAGGCAGATTCTTTACCATTTGAGCTAACCTGGGAAGCCCCATGGGAGAAAGATCATTTCATTTTAGTTATGAACGGTTAGTCATTTTAAAAATAACCCATTCCCCAGGTGAAATTTATCCAAGGCCAGTAGTTGGATAGATTGGCTTCTATGTCGTTAAAGTTAGTTAACACGGGGACTTCCCTGGTGGTCCAGTGGCTAAGATTCCATGCTTCTAATGTGGGGGGAAGGGGGGGCGGGTTCAATCCCTGGTCAGGGAACTAAATCCCACACACTGCAACTAAGACCCAGAGCAGCCAAATAAATAAATTTTTAATGTACATAAAATAAAAGTAGGTGACACAGCAAAGTCACCTGGGTCATTACCCTGAATCGCACGTCCTGTCCTAACACACGGCGGCACAGTCCCCTGTTTTCTTTGTCACACGCAGAGGCCCTGCCTCTGTGTCACATGGAACTGAAGTTAGGGAGGGTCTTTTTTGTCGTTGTTGTTAGGGAGGGTCTTAACGTGACCTGTGATGTGAGCTTCGTTCCTCGTGAGCGCCACACCCCGTTGCGCATGGCGGTCGCAGAGGCTGGCACGTTTGCACATAGGGTCACCCACACGTGCACAGCCCACTGAGTCCACTGCACAGGCGGGGTCCGGCGCCAGGCGAGGGATGAGGCAGCTTTGGGAACACGGCTCTTACAGTAACAGACTTGGGTGGAGAGTGAGGTTTGTCCTGACACTGAGGGATGTCACCCAGTCCCAGGGCGTCGTTTCCTCCTCGGTCACGGGGAGGGCTGGCCGAGGTCTTCAGTCTGAGGGGAGGGAGTTTCAGGGAGAAGCTGCCTGCCCGGGGCTGGACACACAGCAGTGCTGCGTGTACACTGGCCCGTGCGTGGTGGCCCCAGCCTTGCTGTGCTCACCGTCACGGCGATTTCAGTTCTTGGACAGAAAAGACCCCCGGGAAGGCAGGTCCTGTCCAGTCCCACCTGAGTGCATCTGTTGCACGAGGTGGTTCTCAGAGGCTCCCGGGAGCCTGTGGTTTCCCATTTAAAAATGGAAGGAGGTTTGTTAGCAACTTGGCAGCCCTAGAGTGAGACCCCCAGCTTTCTGTTGGCCAAAGATGTGGGCAGGAGGGTGGGCACTTGCTGAGGCTAGTCAGGGACACCTCCTGGGGTGGCCAGGGGATGGAGAGAGGGTCTGATGACTCCCTTAGGTCCTGCCACGCTCAGGCCTGGCCTTGAACTCTGCACAGCTTCTGCAGATCCCACTCCCAGAGCCTTTGCCTTTTCAGAGACCAGCTCTGTGTTGATCATGCGGAGCTGAATTTGCTCGCAAATCACTGACCTGAGTTCCTAAGCCGAGGGTAGGTGGGCATGGGGCTCTTCGGTGTCCTTGGCTGCAAGGCATCGGGCTGACGGTGGTTTTTAAGGAAGCGAGCGGCCTGTGGCTGAGGAGGCGTCTCTGCACAGCTGGGCCAGGACCCCTTCCTCAGCCGTGGCCCTGGGGGCGCCTCCTCCCACACGGCCCATCTCCCAGGAAGTGACTCTTGGCCCCGGGGAATTGAAGCACCAGGATTCCCAAACATTCGGGGGTCTTACTGCCCCAGGCTGGGGAGCATGAAGCCGCCTGGGTAGGTCTCAGACTTGACTTCTTTCTGACCTTGTCACCTCACCCAGCTGGCTTCCAGGCCATCGTGCGGATTAGAAGGGCCCCTGCGGTGAGTGTGTCCAGCCTCGAGGCTGAAGGGACATCAGTGCCCCTCTGACCGCTGTGCGCGTGGCCCCAGCCCACCACCACCCCCAGGGGGCCAGCAGGGACCCTCCCCCTGTCCTGCTCTGCCCCTTACCTGGACCTCCCCACTCACTTGCACAGTTTACAAGCTCCTTCTCACAATGCTGTAGACCTCAGGTCTGCCTCTGAGGCCGTCCGTGACCTTCTGCCCGGAGGCCGTGGAAGGACAGGGAGGATGAGAGGCCTGCCCGAGGTCGCCTAGCCGGGAAGGTCACACCGCCTCCAGTGGCCACGGGGGCAGGGCCTGTCTTGGGGCTCAAAGGCGCTGCTTTTCCCTTCCTCCCTCGGACTCGGACCACAGGGCAGACCACTGGCCACGTGGGAGGCAGGGAGGGCCTTGGGGTCCGCATTCCACTTCCTGCTTCTGACATCACGACGTTTACTGCGGTGCCCAGGACGATACAGATTGCCTGTGGAAACAGCTCGGATCCATTCATTGGAAAATGATTTACTGAGCTGTAAAGAAAGCAAACCATTTTCCTGGAGGATGATGGGTGTGCTGCCTCCCCGAGGAAGAGGAGGGCTGACCTTTCTAGGTAGACAAAACAGAATGCCTGTCAAACATGACACGTCTGTGGCAGTATATTGTTGCCGGATGCGAGGCTGCATATTTGTGTCATAATGCCGTTTTTGTTTGCAGATGAATGCCACAGTGTTCTTAACGTGTGGAGGAGGGATTCATCACAAGTTCACAGGACTTCTTCTGTGGTGGGCTGGGGGGAAAATCGAGGCTTGTCCTCAGCGACAAGGCACATCGAGCCTGGAGACGTTTTTGTTAAAAGCTCAGTGATGGACGAATTCCCCCAAAGCTCACCTTTCATCATGACCTCGCTGTCAGATGAAGACATTGAAATTTTCCTCTTTAAGACAACACAGTGAATATGGGAGGTCTTCCCTTTCCCCGTGTTATTTTAAAGCTAGCCTCTTCTCTGTGCGTTGTCCACAAATTCTTAATAGTATAGCTAGTTTAGATGGTTCAGATCAGTCAGTTAAAGAGAGGGGAAGTGTTCGAGGGGTCTGGGGAAAAATAACTGGTTGATTCGTAGACCTTTCAGTTGATTGGTTTACAGATTTTCAAAGCCTTTCTTGAAAATACCTAACGAACTTCTCTGCTCTGGGTACCATGTTCCTGAAAGGGGATTGTGCCTTTTCCAAAGAGGTGTTCTCTCTTTCTTTTGATGTGGATGTATGTTTTCAGCCTCTCGGGGACATTCTCTGTGTGTCTACAGGATTTGCACACACATCACTCCCTGGCGACTCTGAGACGAGCACCCCACCTCCAGGAGTGGCGAACCGTCTACACGGGCGCCCGAGTCCGAGGTCACCTTGATTTCTTCCTCCCTTGCTTTCCTCTTCACATATATTCCCCAAGGCTGGTGGGCTCTACCCCCTGGGTCTGTAACTAGTCACCTGCCCCCAGCTCCATCCCCACTGCCACTGACGTCAGGAGTACCTCTCCACCCCTCACCTGAACCATCAGGGACCCGCCGTCCACGCTCGGCTCACCCCCGCTTTTGTCCTCCCTGCAGCCACCACAGTGACCTTGGAGGGGAGCAGAAAGGGGCTCCAGGCTGGCAGACTTCTGCAGTCCACCCGTGGCTTCAGCCCAAACCCAAACCAATGCCTCTGCAGCTTCCCAGGCCCTGTCTGCCTCACGTTCCAGATCCTTCTCAGTGACTCGGGTATCTGCGGAGTTCAGTCCTGGGTCCTGTATGGGGTTCATCTCTCAGTTATCAGCCCAGCACAGTAGAGATGTGCATCCTTATTTTGCAGGGGAGGAAACTAAGGCTTAAAGAGGGGAAGCGACTTGTTCCGAGGTCAAAGCCCAGATTCAAATGATTTGCTGTTTTTTAGAATGCTCCGTGAGCTGCCCAGCTTCCTAGCCTCTGTTTGTGTCATCTGCCTGCGAATCTCATCCTCGAGAAAATACCTGACTTCAGCCCACGTGGCTTACGGCTGCTACTGTCATCTCAGAATTCTTAGAGCCCCGAGATCAGACCCTGCTCACCCCAGCGTTTCAATGATCTGTTGATCAGCCTGTCTCTGGACTCCTTTAGAGTAAACACCTGGAGCTTCCATCCATGTACTTTAAATCTCTAAATCCTCCGTGCTTGGCATGACCCTAGCATATAAGTAAACGCTTAATGAAGAGTCACGTCTGGTTTAAAGCACTTACTCATTCTTCCAACCAGTATTTTCTGAATTTCTGGTATGTGCATAGAACTGTGTATGTAACAAAGAGGTTCGAGTTAGAGACAAAGGTTTTCTGTTCAGAAAGCAGCGAACTCGCCACAGACTGTGGATTTGGGGTGAGTGTCTGCATCCTGCTTTTGTCAGCTGTGAACTGTAGACTGTGCCCGCCCACGTCACAGGGCTGCCGAGACGGCAGCCAGGGTGGCCGTCTCTCCATCCAGTGTCTCGTCCATCATGTTGCTGTGAAGGTGGGGCTGGAGAAAGAAGAAAACAGAGAGGGTGAAGCAGAGAACAGCTTCATGTCCCTGGGGCAGAAGGAAGGAGACCAAGGTAGCCTGATGGCTTGGATGAGAGGCCAGGGCTTCAGCACCCCCTGGCAAGTGTGGGGGAGATGGGAGCTTTCTGGGTCGGGGAGCAGCGTGAGGAAAGGAATGGTGTGGGGAGATCTTGGTGTGTCTGGAGGGCCGTAAAACACAGTTTCTCTGGGGAAGAGGCCTCCAGAAATTTCCACCCTGGACAATGTTGAGAGAAGCACGCTGTGGCTTTTGGAGGAGGATGCCAAAAGGGGAGCTTGGCATTAGAAGAAGGAGGCTTTAGAAGGAGGACATAGACCCCCAAGCTGGGGAGTGTCCGGGTACCACTTCTGTGGCCTCTCCACGTCCTGAGATTCTTCCCCAGGAACTTCAGGCTCTGTGAAGCAATCCAAGGCGGGTGTTTCCCAACACATTTGGCTCTTCTTACTGATGCCAATCTGACGGGCAGAAGCGCTGTTGCCTTTATCATTAACAATACTTATTACTATGTAATAATAAAATCGCATCTCTTTTTTTGTTGTAAACCACTATATGTATTGGGATCTATTTTCGGAGTCCATTGTGTTACGTTGATGTATTTCTTTCTTTTTTTAAAAAAAAAAAACCTTTTTCTTTTGTATTGGGATATAGCCAGTTAACAATGATGTGATAGTTTCAGGTGAACAGTGAAGGGACTCAGCCATGCATATATATGCATCCCTTCTCCCCCAAACACATCTCTTACTACGAACCAGGTGGCACATTTTCCTTGCCCCTTTGCCAATTGTATATGATTGTTGGTAACTGACATTTTAAATAACAGCAACGATTGATATTTTTAAGTTAAGAAGCGCATGGTAAGTTTCCTTTCATCCTGGGTCCGCAGGAATAACGATCCTCCTGAGCTTGACTTAATGCGGTGGCCCAGCCCTTGGAGAACACGGCTCTGCCCCGGGCGTCTGCACCTTGCCGCCGTTTACCGTGGAGGGTAGGGTGATCACACGCAGTCAGCGGCCGGCTCACTGGCCTCGAGCCACCGGGTGAGAATTAAGGGCGTTTCAAACTGGCTCTCCAAGAAATAACACCTCCAAACGCGGATTCCCTATTTAAACATTAGAGAGAAATCATTTTCTCTGAGCTTCGCTGAACGTTCATTAGACCAAGAGAAACATCTCTTCGATCATGGCCTAGACAGACGTGGAAGAGTGGAAACTGGAAGCTGTTTGTACTTCTGAAAGTGGAGTCTTGGGCTTACTAATTTGCATAGTTTCCTCATCCAAAGAGGGCACCCCCAACTGTGGGGTAATTAGAGATATGTGCGTTTGGGGAGCAAGGGATTGTGCTTCAGAAAACACTCTTGGAAAGCAGGCATGGATCTTCTTCTGAGCAGCTGCCCATGGATAATTGTTAAAAGTTGCCAAATATTTAGAAGGCCAGCTTGTCTGTCATAGAGTGACAGAACGGAGCCTGAGAAAATGGATTTTTTTTCAGCCTTGGCAATGTTGGTTTAGGGACCCTCCCCCTTCTGCAGGATGGGCAGAAGAAGAGTCTACCAAACTGCTCATCATTCAGGGAGGTTACCTCCCCTGTTCAGCCATAACTTCCAGCCTTCCTTTCGTGCATTAGAAAATACAGGAACTCACAGCTTTGCTGATGCCGGGAAGGTAAACAAGGAAGCTGTGAGACTCGGCAGAGTTATGAGGTCAGCGAGGATCTGAGGCGGATGATTCAGAGGCGGCTCTCTGCTCTCCTGTCCTTCGAATCAGCACCAGGAAGCAGGGTGAGCTCTGCCCTGGACACGATGCTGAAGCAGCGATGGGTCATTTCAGGGGGTTTCCTCCATTTCCACAGCCCTTGATGGATGCGATGGGGTCTCAGTTGCTCTCCCAGCTGTAGGGACCTTCCCGTGGGACCCCATCCACGTTAACAGTCCTGGTCGTGGTGCTGGAGTGTCCCGTGACTGGAAGTGAATGCCACTTGGTGATCTTCCAGGGGCTGTGAGCAACGCTTCAGAGCAAGGTGGTGTTCTGGGGGACACAGAGCCCGAGAGAGCGCACCAGGATGGAGGCACGCCACTCTAAGGTCTGATCATTCCTGAAAGGTGACCCCAAGGCCAGAGTTTACAGTATCGAATCGCCTGTGTCAGATTTTTATTTGTGTGCTCTTGTTTCATAAAATTTTAACCCATCACTAAGAGTTCACATTTTAGATACTCTGTACATATAGAAATACGTATATACATACTTAAACATAAAATGCGAATGTGCATCCGAAATTTTTTTAGAATGCCACCGCCGATTTAAAAGAAAAACTTGTCAATACACCCTCGGCAACATGCAGTCTAACCACTGGAAAGTGTACGACGCTTCAGGCCCAGGGAAAGGACCTCTCACTTCTGTCTGAGCTTGGAAAGGCTGCCCAGCTCAGAGCTTGACAACTCAGAATAATCTTAATGTTTGCCTTAAATGGAGCAGTCCGGATGGATTGATTCTTCATGGTGCCGTTTTCCTTTCTTCTGAGCAGGGTCTGGGTGCACAGTGACATCACTGGGTCTTTCCGTATCTTGTGAGCGATCGGGACCAGCCCTGTGGCCGGGTCACTTCCCAGAGGAGTTCCTCCCGCCTGCCCTTGGCTGCCCTCCCGCCTCCCTTGGTGGACTTCCCCTGTTCCACAGCCTCGCTCAGCGCAGCCTCTTTCCCAGGCTTCTAGCTGGCCACATCCCCCTGCCTCTGCTCTCTGAAGCCGAGCGGCTGGCCCTGTCCATCCTGGGGACAGACTCCCACACATCTGTGGCCAGAAGCCCAGGCTTCTGTGAGCCCAGCCTCTCCCATAAAACTGCTTTTCCCCACAGGAAGTATGTGGCCAGCCTGGGCGTCTCTAGATCTTTCCGGCCCTTAGACGGCAGTGAAGTCCCTTCTAGAGTTAGAAGAGGCTTAAGGAATTCTGCAGTATCCGTGTCACCCTGGGCAAGAAGTCTTCTGTGGGCCCTCCTGCTGGCGGGCAGCGCCCCAGACACTAGGAATGTAAGGAAAAGAAAGGTGGTCCCTGGAGGGTGAGGGGATGATGAGAAAGGAAAACACAAGCAAACCAGAGGAAGCCACAGTGTAGGCTGCCTTCCCCTGGGCGGCCAGCCAAGAGTGGTCCCAGCGTCTCTGGGTTAGCAGCCCTTGCTTCCCTGTTCTGGGTGACACGGGTCACAGAGCTCACCTAGCCTCAGTCTTCCCATCCTTAAAATGGGACTCCTCTTTCCTCTTGCGATCGGCCGTTGGCTCTGCGTTAGACACCACAAACGCAGCAAGGCGCTCAATGGACCTAGTGAAGCGGCAGCGTCTCTCCTTTCCTGTTTTGGAGGACCATGCTGTTCCGGGAGGGCCAGGAGCCAGCTGCGGCCCTGTGCCCTGTAAGTTCCCCAGGGACAACCCCCTTCCGAGAGGAGTGAGTTTGTCCACGGGGACTAGCTTCCTCTTCCCTCACTTTATAACGAGCTTATTTCACCTTTTCAGATCTTGGCCCACTGTGACAGTAGCCATCTGCACAAGGGTCTTGGGCTAAAGGAAGTGTTTGTGTGATGAAAGCTGACTTCAGAGGATATTCTGGTTGCTGGGGTTTTTTGCTCTAATTCTGTCCTTCAGAGAAGCTGGTAGTTGTGGTTTCAAGCGAGCATGTGTGAGCCCCGAGCCAAGGTAATGTGTGATCTCTCTGTAGAGCCCACTGTTTCGTGTATTTTTGCTTTGTTTAAAAAAAAAAAATCACTTCAAAGTTTAATTCAAAATGATTAATAATCAGGCTCGTTTAGGATGTAGTCCATCATACTTTCTCATTTACTTAACCATCCTTTGACACCATGCCCACCTGCTTCTACACCCAACCGGTCTTTTGGTCTTGTGGTTGTTAGTTTGGTTTGATTCAAGGCTGCGGGCCTGCTTCTGCACATCTTGGGGTTTTGTTTTACGCTAAGATGATTTAGCGTTGTATTGGAAGAGAGTTGTGAGCATTTCTACGAATCCTCCTGATATATTAAGGGTACCTGGGACCCCTGGCCTCTCCCCATACTTGGCCCCAGACAGAGACCAGAAGTCACTCTTTCTAGCAGCTTCCCAAGCTCTTTTGAGGGATTGGAAGAAGTGGACTCCTGTAATAAGTTATTTCTACTAAAAAATGACTTCTGTACTCCCAGTGATTCCCCCTCACCCAACACTGAGTGCCCACTTGTCTTTCCCCCCGGTGTACTTGTGTGATCCTGGGCTCCTTTGCACTCTGGGAACTCTGTGACTTTAAAAAGATTCGGTTACACAGTCTGTTGGCTACACAACAGATTGGGTCTCCTTTGCTTCTTTGTAGATTTGTAGAATTTTCTATGTACATGATCTTGTCATCTGAGCATAAACTCCTATTTTTCCTTTCCAATTTCTATGTATTTTTTTTCTTGCCTTATCACACTGATTGGGAATTCTGAGACAATATTAAATGTGAGTGAGAGAGTGGACACCCTTGCCTCTGTCTCAGTATTAGGGGGGAGCATTCAGTCTTCCATCATTACGGATAAGTAGATGTAAGATCGGGCTTCCCAGGTGGCACAGTGGTGAAGAATCTGCCTGCCAATGCAGGAGATACAAGAGACGCAGGTTCGATCCTTGGGTCAGATAGCCCCTGGAGTGGGAAATAGCAATCCCAGTCCGCTCCGGTATTCTTGCCAGGAAAGTTCCATGGACAGAGGGGCCTAATGGGCTATAGTCCTTGGGGTCGCAGAAGAGTTGGACTCAAATGAGCAACTCAGCACACACAAACATACGCATACACAGATGCAAGATTCCTCAATATTAGAATTATTGCTTCTGATGCTTTGGCTTCAAACCTACTTCCCAGGTCAACTTTTCAATTAGTGTAACAACTTGTTATCAACGTAATTGGTTTAACATATCTATCCTGGCCGGGACTAAGATAAGTAGTCTATTTTGGTG